AACAGACTGTTTCATGCTAGCGTGATTTTCAAAATGGGTGTTTGTTATCCTTGGATGTTCCCAAGTTCTAGTGTTCTTTTTCACATTTTTCAAAAGGAATGTATCAGTGTGCCAACAGTTCAAAATAATTTAATACCTTTTGTTTATTAACATTTTTGAATTTGTGGGTACCCCCCAACCATGGCTTTTTGTGTTTATCACTAAGAAGTAGTTAGTACTGCCAAACAGCTTTAAAACTGGACACTTCCTGTCATCTATCTCTTTTTTCTCTTTTCTGTCTTGCAGGACTTAGTGACAACATGCACGAAAAGGCCTTGTCCAAAGCATGGCGATATCTTTCTTTTTAGGGACTGAACTTTCATTCAGACACACATGCACACACATATTTAACACCCAGACAGTTCATCACTTTTAATATCTTCTTTCTTTTACATGCATACTGCATATTTTCTCTCTCTTGTTATATAAAAATAAGAATATTTAAAATATCTTGTTGAAATTCATTCCCTTTCCTTACACCCTTTTTTTACATGCATAAAATATTGTTGCCACTGCTTTTAGTCTAATTGGAATTAGTGCTCACAGTAAATTCTATGATTTTCAGTTTCTTCTCCAAATATAGACTAGAATTTCTTCCTTTGATTTTTCTTCATATTTTTTTTTTTTATATTCCATTCTACTCCTGGTGTTTCCTCTTTTATTTTTTGCTCCCATATATGTTTTGATAATATGTGTTTAATATTTCATATTTAAATGATAGCAGATGGTTTGCATACCTTTCTTTATATTTAAATTATTAAGTTATTAAATTGTTAAGTTTAATACATTTATATACATAAAAATTATTTTATTATTTACCTATTAACAGTCTGTTTCATCCAATGTGGTTATCAAAATGCTTGTTTATTTTCCTTGGAAATTCCCACAATTTATTGTTCTTTTTCATCTTTTTCAAAAGAAATGCATCAGCAAGATGACGTTTCAAAATAATTTTATTCCTTTTGTTTATTCATCCACTCATGTTCTTGAATTCTGTTTTTTTTTTTTAATATATTTTTTAAAAATTATGATTATTTATAATTCTACTATTCTACTTACCATTCTACCATTGATATCTACTATTCTACTATTGGTGTTACCCCTCCCCGAACTTTCATTTTTAGCTTCCATGTGTGCTTTGACAATACACTGTTATTTCTATATTTTCCATATTTGAATGCCTGAAACACTGAAATGGATATATTCTGTATTAGTTCTTCAACAGTTTTTTTTTTTTAACTTTCACAGTTAAATTTCTATTTCTGACATGAACTCAGTCCACACCAGGGTTGATAAGACAGATGACTGATATATTTGACTGCCGAAATAGGCTTGCATATATTTCTTTAAATTGTTCCCCCAGTGTCTCTAATTTAAAGTCTCTCCTCTTTGGTATTCTCCCTTGTCATTTTTTTTTACTTATATAATGCTTTTTCCTCCCTGGCAAACAATTTAAAGAAAGACATGTAAATCATTTGAATGTGAATGGATTAATAAACAAAAGTGTGGCATAAGTTAAATGCAAAATAAGTAACAGAACTGTGCAATAATCAGAATTGACAAAGTTTACAATAACAAGAAAAAGAAACAAAAAGAATGGGCAAAAAATAAGATTAAGCAAGCAAACAATATATACAAGACAAATTAACAGTAATAAAGCAATGAAACATTAACATGGTAAAAAGTTCACAAACTAAGCAAGTTCGAACATAGCGTTCTGACTTCAAGGCAAGGCAGATTGGGATTGATTCTGATGAAAATGAGATCTGGCCTATTGTATCAGTTAGGAAAATATCCCATCATGCATTTGTGTGCTTCTGTCTATAAATTGGAGAGGGACAGGTGTTTTGCAGTCATTCCTGATAGACCGTCTGGTTCGGTCCTGATCTCCAGTTGGAAATGAACTGGTTGGAGGTACAAGGGAAGGCCGAGATCACGGTTAATCTGTGGTCTCGGAGGAGACTTTCCCTGAAGGGAAGGGTGGAGGTATGTGTTTCACATATATATTCGATTCTCCTGTACTGACTCTCTGTACTTCCACTCCCGTATGCCAGACTAATTTTATTAGTAAGGACTTTGTTCTCTTTCTTGTGGAGAGACAAGGCCTATATGGTATCTCACGAGATCTGTTGCCTTCATCCCTCTGAGGGCGGTCTGGGTATGCCTAGCATTGAGATTCGTCAACATATGCTTTGCATTACCTTTCTAGAATGAATGTGTTGTGGTTCAGATGAGGTGGGCACCTTCTGGAAAGAAGACGTCTGAAAACATTTCCTATCCCTGAGAAGTGTGCACTTGTGCAAGGAGGAGGCCAGACGTACACCCCGAGCCGAGTGCTCCTTCTACCGTGAATGTCATCGTGCTTTGGAACTCCTCTTACAGATGTCGGATGGCCTCTCCGACGCCCAGGCATTGTCTGGCAAGGCATTGTATCAAGTGTTAGTTAGGGGGGGCCGTACAAGATGATCTAATTGGCGAGCTCGGTCTTACGAAGCAGGAGGCTCGCTCGATATGGCCTTGGGCGCCTGGGTTGAAATGCCTCAATAACGATGTTAACGGTTAACTGATATTTCTGCCACATTTAAAGTTTGTGGGGGGTTTTAGTACTAACACTAATTTTGTTTAGTTTCTTGTAAATATATTTGTCATATTGTATATACTCATTGGGGATCTTTTTAAAAATTGTTGTTTTTTATGCCCCCCCCCCGGACAATATTTGTACATAAGGGGAGTATTTAGGATTTTCATTGAGTCAAAGAGACATTTTGGTGAATGTAGTAAGAAATGTATGGATAAATGTGTTGTTTTGGTGAAAGGAATATTGTTTTGTATGATAGGGTCAGTGGTTGTGGCTAGCTAAGTTTTATACTAAGACAAGTGATGACCATCCTTTACCCCAACCCCCTTTTTGGCCTTGTGCCACATTTATTGTATGACAATAATAAATATTGTCATTCCTGATAGACTGTCCCACCCCGATATTAGGCTAGTTTAGGTTTTCTATTTTGAATCTTTAGTTTCCCGTTTTCTGGTTAACTTAGCTAGGGTATGCATGCTCATTGGCCCCTTTTATTTCTGTCCCTATTTTTCTTTTGTTTAATTCCCCATCCCCTCCCTCATTGGGTGGTCAGTAATGTCAGTTCTCTGGTTGCTGTGGGATGACTTTCGTTTTCGTGTGTGTGTTTTCGTATTTGTTATTGTGTCTAAATGAGTGCGTGGTTGTGGGCCTGCTTGTGGGAGTGTTTGTTTTTATAATATTATAATCCTGCAATTATTTCGTCCAGTTAACTGATGTTTCTGCCACATTTAGGGATTGTGGGGGGGGGGTTTATTACTAACCCTATTTTGTTTTGTTTTATGTAAATAGTGTTAAATCATATTGTAAATAATCATTGAGTTTTTTTTTAAATTGTTGTTTTATCCCCTCCCCCAACAGACTTTGAAATGTACATATGGGGACTAGTTAGGATTTCATAGAGAATTTGAGGTATTATGGTGGACGCGGTAAGAAAGATAGGAGTGAATGTGTTGTTTTGGTGATAGTATTCTTGTTGGTATGTTTGGGTCTGTGTCTGTGACTAGCTAAGTTTAGAATTAAGACAGAAGAAGACCGTCCTTCCCCAACCCGCTTTTTGGCCTTGTGCCACATTTTGTACAAACATACAAATAAATAACCATTCCTGATAGACTGGAATCAACAAAAAGGAATTAAATTATTTTGAATTGTTCTCACGCAGGTGACATTCCTTTTCAAAAACTTGAAAAATAACTGTAGCACTCATGAACATCCAAGGGCAACAAATGCCCATTTTTTGGAGACTCCAAAATTCGCTTGAGGATGAAATGGAACTAATGTCTTTAATTTAATTACAAAATTAAATTCGGAGCTTTCAGCTTCCATTTTTGAAACATGGTTAGAACTGTGTAGTGAAAAAAAATATTTTAAATCAATTAATTTATAATATTATAAATTAATTGATTTAAAATATTTTTTTAATGCTCTGTAAATTTACATTGAGCACTGTTTTGTAAAAATAAAAATATCTATAAGAACACTGGATCATATATCTTACTGTTCTTTCTTTTTATTTATATATATATAGAAAAAGTTTCAAATTAAAATTATATATAAATATATATATAAATAAATAAATAAATACTTTCATAAAATAAAACATTATAATTTTTAATTTGAAACTTTTTTCTATATATACATATTAAGAAAGTATACGTGGCTTCTTATTATATATATATATATATATATATATATATATAGTAAAGGCAACAAATCCATTAGTATATAATCCTAGTGGATCCACAAAAAGAGCTCAATGCATTTATTAATACAGAGCAATATAATTAATAAACAGTAATATCCAAAATCGCTTCATACAGGGAATAGCCTATTTTGGCAGACAAATATATCAGTCATCTGTCTTATCAACCCTGGTGTAGACTGAGTTCATGTCAGAAATAGAAATTTAACTGTGAAAGTTAAAAAAAAACTGTCAAAGAACTAATACAGAATATAACCATTTCAATGTTTCAGTCAGATGAAAAGCACGAGACAGAGGTCAGTGGAGTGTGGAAGGTATTTTTCTTAAAGAGAAAAAGTTTTATAAAATTAAACCTGAAAATTAATCTTATGACATTAATTTAGGGTTATATGAAGAATGAAATATTAATTTAAAATAAAAAGAGGAATAAAAAGAGGTTTAAAAATAACTTTAAAATATAAAAGGATGTAAGGGATTATTGGAAAGAGTTGGGGAAAGTTTATAAATTATATAATTAATATAGATAAAGAGGTTAAAATTTTGAACTTACACCTATTTTGAATGTCTTGGATGAATGCATCGAAGATTTTATAAATATTAACCACGAGGTGAGAGAAATTTTTGCGTTGGTTCCAGCTTTGCAGTAATTAGGTTTGTTAAACAATTGGGCTTTCTGTTGATCGGATGCTAAAAAGTGCAGGTGAGGTTCCTGTGTAATAGTGACCATCGTCATTTTGGACTCTGCAGACGAATACCGGTCTGATCAAAATGGCGGTGGAATCCGGCATGTAAAGAAGTCAGAGAGATAATTCCCTTGTGTCACTTTACGGAACACGGTAAGATTCTTCCTCTGCTTGCATGAAACCTAAGGCTAGCTGTATTACCTGACACGGGGTTAAAAAATAAATCAACAAACAATAATGTAATGAAGTGTAACCTAGTTGTTTTGATGAGAGATTGATGAATGTTTTAAAACCGAACGTCTCCTTTGCTCGTCTCTTTCTCTAGAAATAAAACTAAGTCTTGAAAAAGGCCGGTGGAGTTGATTTTTTTTTTTTTTATTATTTTCTTGGACCGTTTAAAAACTTCCCTCCTTTTTTGTTTGAATTTTTTAAATTAAAATAAAAGCCAGAAGTATTAAAGTACTTAAATTTAATTTTTTTCTCCTTTTTTTTTAAGTGATTAAGTGAAGAAATGTCTAACTAAAAAAAAAAAAAAAAACACTTAGTGACTTTGTTTGAAAAGGGATTCTTTTTTTTTTTTTTTAAAAGTAGTGGATAATAAAGTTTTTCTTTTTTGTGTAGTGGGTTGAAAGGAAATACAAATTCTATGAAGGGGGGGAAAGAATTTAGAAACGAAAGGGTTTTAAAAAAATAATCAAGAAATAGAGTATTGTAACTAGAAATAATATTATTAACATAGGTAATAACATCTAATCAGCTTCTGGTAGAAATGAATTTAAAACGACTTTTTAAAACATGACCCCTTGTTTAGTTAAATTAAGAACTTGTTTTTTTTTTAATTCAATAGTTATTTTTACCTTGCCTCACAATGAAAATACGTTAAAAATATATTGATGTATTTTTTTTTTTTTTAGTTATTTTATTAATCTGGAGTCGTAGAAAAAAAAACAAGTTTAACTTTATCAAATCTAAACTGGGATCGATTTAGAAAAAAAAAATGTTTCTTTTGAGACTGATGATTTACTGATTTGTCTTCAGTACGGTTTACAGTAACATGGTCATGTGACCAGAAAAAAAAACTAAAAAATGTAATTCCTGTTTTTTAGTTTATGTTGCATTCTTCTTCTCTACTCTGCCAAATTGTCATGAAGTGACATTATTGATGCTTTTTTTTTCTTTAGAAAAAAATGTCTGGGGATGAAATATTTTAAATTTCACCACTACCATTTGTTGAAATGATGATTTGAAAAAGAGATCTTGTTGTCAAAAGTTTTAAATGAGATTAGATAACAATATGAGATATGGTAAAATAAAATAATGATACTACCGAATGAAAACGGTGTCCTGATGAAAAAAAAAAATCACAACTGATGCTGTGAAAAGACAAACAAAAAATTAACAATTAAAGAAAACATTTGAGTTTCAAGGAAACGAAAATTTGACTTGTGAAAATCTAAACTTGTTAAAATAAAATGTTGTACATCGTAGTTTCATGTACTTCAAGAATTCATTCATTTAATAAAATATATTTGAATAATAAAAAAAACCTTTCATGTTCGGGGATGAATGTCTAAAAAGTAAAAACAAAACCGAAAGAAAGTTAAAAGTAAAAAATTGTTTTTTCAATGATTCAATGCGGAGCCAAACTTGATTTTCTTTTCTGCTGTTAGATTTTTAAAAATTTTAATTACCAACAAAATAAGTAAAGTTAGACACTTCATATCACTAATGAATGAGGTATAAGTAATTTATCTAACACTTAATGAAGTTTTTTTTTTTACCAACAAAGTTTGAATAATAATAATAATATTTTAAAATCGAGAGCAGGTTTCATTTTTCTCGTTAGTCTGAACGTGAGATGGACAATAATTTCATTAAAAAAAACTTAAGAAATTTAAAGATTTTTTTAATTTCAACTATGTAATAAGTTTTAATATTTACTTGATTCAGAAACTTGTGGATTTTTTTAAAAAATTCTTTAGAAAGAGGAAAATTGTTTTGTAAAAATAAAAAAAAAAATAAACAAAATCTTGACTCATTGGTCGTGTTGTTGCCCGCGCGTGGAAAACCATAGCTGAAGAGAAGAAAAGACCTGATAACATTTAATTGTCTAGTTTTAAATAAATAACCCCCTACTTTTTACCCCCTTTAATAATTGTTTTTTTTTTTTTTTTTAAATGAAAACAAATATTAATCGTTCAAATTTGAATATTTTTTCCTTCAATGAGATTCAAATAGAAACGAAAGAATTTTAATTAATGCAAAGGAGGAAAGCAATCGACACCCCAAGCTTGTTAATTTCATCTTGTTCAGTAGTAACTCTCTCTCTCTCTCTTTCTCGTCGATCACGAAAAATACAGTAATATTTGAAAATTATGATTATCTAATTATAATAATCTGTGTATTCCCCATTAAAACTCTCTCGCTTCAAGAAGGCTTAATTTCTGAGATAGAAAACAAAAATGAAGACAAAAAAAACAGAAGAAATAGACTGCCTCCAGGTTTTAAAATCGGTCGTATTGTACCCGTTTCTTTTAGGTCTTTTTTTTTTTTTTTTTTTTGTTATTTCTAAGGACTGTCTGACCCGTCTCAGTCTGTATTCTATCCACTTTTTCCGCCCTTCGCCAGCCTCTGTGGATGTGTTTTTTTTTTACGTAACTTATCTATTTCCTAAAACCGTATCACAGCCACCCCAATAGCTTGACACACACACACACACACACGAGGTTTCCTTTCCCTCCTTTGATTTTAATCAAAAGGGTAGAACCTTAAAACTTGTCTCCCTTTACATTTTCCATTAGTCTCTCTCTCTCTCTCTCTCGAACAGGCATTTTAAATATCATTCATTATCATTTCTTTTAGTTTTATTTTTTTTTAAGTAAGTATGAACGATGGGGTGGATTGTCATTGTATTTTCTGTTGAGGTGACCTTTCGTTTTGTTTTTAATTATCAGCTGAGTATCAAATTATTTCTAAAGTATTCCTTCGAAATCAGGGAAAAAAATTGTTGCGTTTATCTCCCAAAATTCGCTAAAAGAGGATTTTAAAAAAAAAAAAAAGTGTTCAAAAAAATAAACAAAATTTTATCGTCGGTATTATTAAGGATTTTTTTCATCTAATTTTTAAAAATTCTTTTTAGATTCTTGGAAATTGTTTTAATTATTATTTTATTTTATTTTATTTTATTTTGCGTCAGACGCTCAAATTTCCCGTACAAATTTATGACCATAAATTTGTACGGGGAATTTGAGCGTCTTTTTGCGGAGAAGAATATCGATTTCGAAAATCTTACAAAAAAAAAAAAAAAAAATCTGATAATTGTTGGATTTTAATGAAACTTTCAAGTTTTATTTAGGAATGAAATTATTTTTGAAACGTTTCATTTTCAGAAAATATTTGTTAAAAATATATATGTATATTTCACATCTGTTACCCCGCCTCATTTAATTTGATGAAAATTGAAATTTCTTTTTTTGTCACTCTTATTTTTGTTATAAGGACAAGTCCATGGAGAATATTTTAAATCAAATATATTTGGTCAAGCAGGACCCTGGTTACCGAAAGTCTAACTTTGAATGCTAAAATAAAAAAATACAGTAAAACTAAGATATTTCATTAGAAAAACTTTTAATTTTCTGAATTAAACTATATTGTCTTAAGAAAAATATTTTTTTGATGAATATTAATTTTTATAAGAATTTTAATTTGTTTTTTAAAAATTTTAAATCTCTGTATTAATTTGTAGCAGTCAGCAAATGATATTGTGATTAAATTAAAACTGTATTTACTAATCATAAGCGGAAAAGCTCACCACAATTCAATGACACCCAGTGTTTTAAAAAGAATTTTGAACTTTTTTTTCTGCATATAAGCGTGTTGATTTTTCTAAATACAGACATATGACATTATGAGAAAATAAGAGGTACTTGTATTAAATTTAAAATTTATTAGTAATTTTCTAACATTTCCTCAACAAGTGTCTTTATAAGTAAGGCTTAAAATTAAATAAAATATTAGAATGTTTAAAAATTTTAAAGATTACTGATTAAAAATTAAAAGGTGTTCACATTGTATTTGTCATGTAATTTTTTCCAGTTATTGTCCCCTTTAATTAAATTTCTCAAACATCAGGCTATCAAATCATTGAATGCATCAAAACACACTACCTCCATCTTAATAAAAATGCTTTTCTGTAATATTTTAACCTAAAAATAATGTTTCAATTCTGATTAATTAAACTTTATATCAGCTAATTTTTCTCAAATAACATTTTAGAAAAGTATATTTTATTCTTGAAATATCTTTTAATAAAGAGAATTGTGTTGATGTATTTGTCAATATGGATGAATTCGTAGATTTTACTGATAAAGAGGAAAAGAAATGCCAATTAAATTTGATTTGAAATATGCCAAAGTATTTTAATTATTAGGAATATTAAATTTAATCTCTTAGATTTGAATTAAAACTGAAATGAAAGTTCTGATAAAGCTTTTTTTTTTTTTTTTGCAACTCTTACATTTTATGTCGATATAATTTGACTGTCTATTGAAAATTACAGTGTTTTGGTATTATTTCTTGTTTGCTCCTTGATCTTAAACTAGTTTTCAAAGTCGTTCTTCCATTTATTTTTTGAGCTGTAATATTTTTTCGTCTGAAATAAACTGTACAGTATCAACTTTTCATTCTCTGCTGGTAAATTGTTGCTTTGCCAATGTAAACCTTCCTCTTCAGAATGCTCTACAAGTTTTCAATCATTTAAATGATGGATGAACAAGCTGGCCACTTGGTCAAATGATTGTCTTTGAAGCCCATTTCATTCAGATATTCAGTTTTCTTTGTCAAATATGAGAAAGAATTGTTGTACATAAAAATCATTTTTATGAAAGCATTTGCTTCTTCATGGACCATAGCTCCATGTATGCTTTAAAAAAAAAAATCCTATCTGAGCTGTCATCTTAACACCATCTGCAACTTGCCATGGGCTCACCATTTCACCAGCTATAATCTCACTGCAAAA